CAAAAATTGTTACAACATGAACATAATGAACATTAAACCTCCAATTTTTATTGATCATAAGATCTCTATAAGTTATAATTAGACGAAAATAGGAATCAAAACTCATAGTAGTTTAATATACTAATTTTCCCCTACCACGGCCAAATCTAACTCCAAAAAAATTGTATGGTAACATTTGTTTCGGCTTAATTATAATCCATATTCATTGTTAACAATGTCTGAGCAACCAAAACCATAACAAAATCTGCCAACTAATTTCCAGATAAATCACTGGAACGCCAACGACGCTCCCAACCATGAAGTGTCGTCTCAATTTTTTTTTTTTTTTAAGTTTAAGACGAGGGAAAGCCTATTCAATCTAGGGCAAAGGTAGTTCAAATATTTAATTATATATATTAGATTTATATGTCGCTTATAAAAAAAAAATTACTAACAACAAAAATCAAACTTAAATTTTACAAAAAAAAAAAATTCATTCTTTACCAATTCAATCAATTTCAATTAAAAAGTTATCTCAACCTATTATTGTTAAGAACCTCATGCTTCTGAACCCCGAGAAGAAGGTAAAAAATGTGCTAATTATTAAAAAGCAAATGAACCTAAACCAAATGATGATCATGATCATGATATTTTCCAAACATGTTGCTATTTGGATATAACGAAAAAAAGCTTAGTGTACAATATAAAGAGCCTGTAATAAAAAATCTATTACTATTAGATGTTAGATTCCTGAACGTTATTCTAAATGATTGGGCAAAGTATTTTGCAGATGATGGAAAGATTTTAACCTTTATCAATAAAATTAAAATTTTAATATTATATTAATAATTTATGTAACCGTTGACATATTACTATTTCATTTTATAAAGAGAAAGCATAAGTTATGAGATTGACATAATAATATTTTTAGTATCGTAATAATATTATATATTTTTTTTTATATGGTTAAAGTTTTAGTTGGAAGTAGTCCTTCTAAAGATTTGTAAAGACAACTTGTGATTATATAAGAAAGAGTCAGTTACAATTAAAATTAGGATTGCAACCGCACATTTTAAATTATATATGTAATACTTTTTAAATTTCAAAGATCGTATTCCATTTATTTATATAATTACCTGTTCACACTTTTACTTTAGAACCAAATTTAACATCCAACAATTATTTAAAAATAAATAAATAAATAAATAACATCCAACAATGGCCACATGGAAAAATTAGTTCAAATACATTATCGTATATATATAAAAAAAGAATACATTAATTGCAAGCAAAACTTCATCAAAAACATAATGATCTAATATCAAGATCAATGAAATTAATGAAAAACACACAAATCAAACCATATTGTTTACTTGTAATGATGTTATTCTTTGAATAAAAACAATATATATTTGTTATCGAATCAAATATTCAAATATTTAAGAAGAAAATTTTTAATATAGCTCTAAATTAGGGAACTATTAAAGAGCCATCGATTTTTTTTTTCTTCTAGAGAAATGTTAGAAGTCCTTAATCTCAAAAAAGAAAAGGAAAATAAAAGGTACAATTTTGTTAGCTTACATGCCCTTTTTTAACATTCATTGCCAAGTTATTTTGTACTTTCCAACAAGAAATGATCAAGCGTTATCTACTCTATTACTCTATTTGAAGATAAAAGAATGCTACTTACTTTAAGAGATAAGGACTTAAAACTGTTTTTGAGTTACTCTAACTCAATTATATAAACACTTGAATTTAATTTATTTATTATCGAATCAAATTTAAATTTAAATTAATTAAATAATAATTTGAATTAAGATAATATTTTGTAATACTCAATTTGAGTTACTCAAAAATTTTATTGAATTTTTAAAAATTTTTTATTATGTAACTCAGATTCATGATCATCGAGCTAAATCGGATTGAAGTAAAAAAAAAAAAAAAAAAAAACCTTCAGTGAATTTGATCCTTAAATTTTTTAATCGCACCTAGAGTCAAGATTGATTATACCCTGTTTATTGGTTATTGGTCAGTCTCATCAGGGACACGTCACAACAGAGTTCCTCATCTCTGTCATGTGGGCCATTGTTGGCCTGAGTAAAAAAAGGCCAAATTTAGTGGGCCCATGCTGTCTATAGCTTCATAATTGCCGTAGTGATTGGGCAGTGACGAAATGAGCTAACACAGTACGTGACGTTAATATTAAGCATTCAAAAATGCAGACTTCTTTGTCAATTTTACCCTCCCTGCAGGCCCTATATCCAATACAGCGCAGGCACATTAGGGGTAAAGAGTCCCATAAAATGTTGGTATATAAGCAAATAATTAACAGTAATTAATTGTGCTTCCATATTTTCCCTGTTCCTCATTTGATAAAAGAACACAAAAAAAATAATAAAAAAAAACCTCGTTTCTCTCTGCTGGCATGTTAAAAAAAGAAGAACAAGAAAACGCAGAGCCCTCCCCACCAGATTACGTTAACATGGTTTATTCACCATCTTTTTAAGGTTTTTAGACAAAACCCAGACAGAATATTAGCTTTCTTTTTCCCTTTTGGCTTCCATTTTTTTCTCTGTTGTTCAACTTTCGTTTTGAAGGAAACAAAGAGATAGTGGCATGGGTAATGGCAATTGTTTCCGAACTCGTTCGAAAGTGGACAACTCGTTGAGCTCTCAGGCAACTTCAGGTAATGTTTTTATGGGGTCTTTTCATTCCATGCAATCGTTTTTTCTTGTTTTCTTGAAAAGTTTTATTCATCTTTGGTTTGCAATGAGGACTTGGTCTTTTGGCTTTGGTGGTTTTGAGGGAAATGGGGCTTCTTGGAAAGGGTTTGTTGGGTATACAAGTGAGGATTCCATGTGTGATTTTTTGTTTGATATCTGATTGAGATTGATGATCTTTGTTTTGCTTTTTCTTTTTCCTTTTCATTTTAGTTTTATCGACATTGTAGTAGTAATTATTTCATCTATTGCTTCAACTCAGAAGTCCAAATGATTGGCTTTTATTCAATTATTCTTGTAGGATTCAGATGTTTTCTTTTCTTTTCTTTTCTTTTTCTTTTTGAGGAATTAAAAGAAAGCATATTTTATGGGGCGTTCCAGGGAAAAGTCACAGCTTCTGCTTTTGGCATGTTATTGGGTTGTTAATGGTCTGTTTCGTGAAGATTCCGCAAGGTCATAGTTTCTCTAGTTTTGAACTGATTTCATTACTTTGAAATTTATATACATTGCTTTTAATTAAATGGTTTTCAGGGACTGCTTTCTTTGGCGTTTATATCTTGCAAGTTCCTTGTGTTTGCTTTAAATTATGTCTTTATCAAGTCATCATTACATAATAGCATCCAATTCATTATTTGTACTTTTTTGGGCATTGTAAGCCCACTGTCCGCTGTTCTTTTTGTTGTTTTCTCTTCTTTTGGAAATTTTACGTATCTACCTCATTTGGGTTTAAGGATGTGACTGGTTCCCGTAATGTTCTTTATCTTTATGGATTTCTTGATTCCGGGTAGACATGTTAAGTCTTTCACTTAAGTCCTCCACCCTTTGCTGTTCATTGGAAAAGGAGGCTTTCTTGCTTGTTCTGTATTGTTAATCACATCAAGTTGTCTTATAAACATGTGGACAGATGTACTAATGCTCACATTGGTAAATTGGTCGCATTAATTTAGTATTGTTAATCACATGAAGTTCTGTTTTAAACATGTGAGCAGATATAGTAGTGCTTACACTGGTAAATTGTCAATTGGAAGGTAATAATTGAGGTGGTATGCTATTAGTAATTTAGATATGTTTCTCTTTTATTTTTAAACTTCTGTGTTGGAATTTCCTTGAACCCCCATTTTCTTGTTGATGCTATAAGTGACTTAAATTATGATAATCTAGCAATGTTTATTCTGAGAACTACACTTGCATCTCACTCGGATAACGACAATGTGCCTTGCTAGAGTAGCCCCCAACATTCTTAATCATAACCCCTTGGTTAAGCTAATTTGTCTTCTAGGACAAATATCACTTAACGGATCTCAGTCACGTGATAGCTGCTACATGATTGATAAGATAATTAGTTATTACCTTATATGCATTTGTGCTTCTATTTTTGAGTAGTAGACAAGCTACCATGGCAGTCTGGTTCACAAACGAATTGCGGCCTGCCTCTTAAGAATTTTTCTAAATGTCTTAAATTCAAATCCTATCATCTTCAAACATGTTTCACAAAGCACTTGGGTGCCCTATTTGGTTAAGGCCCATTAAGTTCCCATGAATGGAAAGAATTGCATGTTTGCAGCAATTGCTGGGCTGTTTCTTGATATCTTATTCATCAAGGCAACTTGTTGTACATCTGGCCTTGCCCCTAAGTACTGTTTTTTCAAATTGGCTAGTTTGTAGAGATTGACGCAAAATTAGATGTAGTTGCACAATAGATGATTATAATTTAATTTACTCTGTTTGCTCAAGTTGCTCTCTTACCTGTAATGCCGTACAAATCTTAAGGCTTATTTTAACTACTATAAGTAGCATTTAATATTTCCCTTGTTATACAAGGCCAAAATCAAGGTATTGTTTATGATTAGAATTGTCTGTTCACACACATCACTGGGCTGTTTCTTAATATTTAGTTCATCAATGCAGCATTCTGGACAGCTGGTCTCACACCTTGTAACTGATATTTCACTGTCAACTAGTTTTAGAGCATAGGCTAAAATTGACATGTAGATACACTGTGCTTGCCAAGATGTTTAAAATTTGTAATTATGCTGTTTGCTAAATTTCCTCCTTCCAAACAATAATATACTGTATACACATCTTGTGTCTAAATTTAACTTCCATAAATAGACTTTAAAAATATTAGTACACCCAAAAAATGTGTGCTTGGAAATTTTTTTGGTCAGCCCTCATGCTATTCAGGGTATTATCTTCTACTATATTCCTAGATATTTGGCACTATTTACTCTGTTAAAATTTATATTTATTGAGACTGTAGAGAAGAAACTATTATGTTTATAATTCACTTCCTCTATGAGATTGCAAAAGCAAAATTTGAAGGTAATGCAATCTAATACACCTTGTACTTGTAGTTCTCTGTCGTTTTTAGGCCACACCACACAATGTGCCGTTTGTCACACCTCTAATGATCCTGCATGTAATTGGCTTTGGTTTTGATGTGCCTGTTTAACTTACATAAATGCATTTGCTTTCTCATAATGAGTTCTCTGGCTACACAGTTCGCTTCAAGCAAATTCCTATTAAATCTTAACAGTCTCATAGTTGGGAACTATTTCTTTCTTCCAGGAGCTACAAGACCTTCTGATACAGATCATCCCTCCGCTTCTTCAACTGTGATTAAAGCTGATCGTGGAAAAATTTTGCCTGGAAGTTGCTCTGCTGCAAGAACTGAAAGTGATATATTGTCATCCCCCCATCTGAAAGCATTCACATTTACTGGGCTCAAAAATGCTACAAGAAACTTTCGTTCAGATAATCTCATTGGGGAAGGTGGGTTTGGTTATGTTTACAAGGGGTGGATGGATGAGCAAACCCTTGCAGCTGCAAGGCCTGGATGTGGAATGGTTGTTGCTGTTAAGAAGCTTAAACCTGAAGGCTTTCAGGGTCATAAGGAGTGGCTGGTGGATTTCTTCCTTCATCATGTTAACTTTCTCCTTTTTTAAAAAAATTTATTTGGCTCATGCGTCGGTTTTGTTGATTGTAGAGTGAAGTTAATTACCTCGGTCAGCTTCATCATCCAAATCTGGTAAAACTTATTGGATATTGCTCGGAAGAGGAAAATAGGCTTTTGGTCTATGAGTATCTATCTAAAGGCAGCTTGGAGAATCATCTTTTCAGAAGTTAGTCATTGCTTTTTTTCATTAGAAGTTCACATTCTACCTTTATTTCTTTTTTTTTTTTTTGGGGGGGGGGGGTGTGGATGCTTATTGCATACCTTTACTAACATTTCCTGAAAAATAAAAAAATCACCATGTGATTTCCCCCTGTTTTCAATCTGTACATCTTTGGATATTATGATTGCTTTTTCTTTATGCCAAAAGATGTGTGTGTGTTCAATAAATTTGAGGCTGTCTTAATTTCAGGGGGTGCTCGACCACTTTCTTGGGCAATAAGGATCAGAGTTGCCATAGATGCTGCTAGAGGCCTTTCTTTCTTACATGAATCTGAACAACCAGTTATATACCGAGATTTTAAGGCATCAAATATCCTACTAGATTCGGTATGTTGGCCAAAAAATGAATAGCTGTATGTTATTGTGCTGGGCTGGATGAGTCAATCCAACAAAGGTTCTATTCTAGCGGCCTATAAATGAAACCAGTTAAAATTCATATGAAAATTTTTTAAAATGAAAAAGAAGGAAACATAGAAAAAGGTTGAATGTTCTATTCTTAGGGATTCTCTTGTTCTAAAATCAACCTATTTTTGGTAATATTCATGATTAATTTGCTTATCCTGTAGCCACTCTTTGAATCATGGCATTGACTGTTTATTCAGTTTTATTATGCCTAGTTTTCCAACGGTACAGCCCATGCATCATTGTTGCAGGAATTCAATGCCAAACTTTCAGACTTTGGCTTGGCAAAAGCAGGCCCTACTGGTGATCATTCTCATGTTTCTACTCAAGTCCTGGGTACTCGAGGATATGCTGCCCCTGAATATATAGCTACAGGTTACTTAGATTGCCCCTTCTAAAATTTTTGTTTGCCATAGTATTTAAGCTCTTACTGTTAGATTCAGGATTTTATATGAACTTATTTGGTTTAAATGCCTTAAGAGATTGTTTCTGCTGTTGTCACCATCTGAGTTGCTTAAAATATTCATTAACTTCAGATTTATGTGTAGCTTGTACAATAGGAAAAGGTTCCAATTAGTCTAGGGTCATGTTAAGTGCTTTAGTGAAACTCTGGATCCTTTCATAATCCCTACAGAACTGAAAATGGCACTTTGCTTCCTACAATATCCATTCAACTCGGTGTATATTTTGTTTGAACTTCATATTTCATAGTACATAACATCTGATGGTTGAAAAAGGCATCACTTGTCTGGATGGTGTTTCAACCAAAACACTGAATTCCTTCTCAGCTCCAATGGTACTAATAATTGCACTATGCTTCCTACAAGAACTATGGAATGCCTATTAAGCTTTCCTACGTTGCAATCTTATAATTACAAATTCTAGGAGAGGCATAAGCGTATTGAGTTCTAATACAATAGTGATGCTCTCCATTCTTCATTTGCCTAAATAACCTTCTTGAAGAATTCCTGTCTGGCAACTAAAAGGGTACCTTTTTAATGACCTTAGGTACTTTCCCTGTTTTCTAATTCTGTTTTTTTTTTTTCCTAAACAGACCTTGGATTGACATAGTGTTATTTAATAATTTAGCATGGATTCCTTTCTATGATGTTGTGACTTTAACTGATTGCTAGAGTTTGTTGTCAGAAATTCTTTACCGCCTTTTCTTACAAAAAAAAAAGGTCTTATTGTTTGAATTTATAACCAAATAACCCGATTTCATCTCCGACCTTTAAGACTACCCCTGAACTTTGTATATGCGGCACTATGTGAATGAATTAGCTCTTCCAATGTCATGCAGGTTGGCTAACTGCAAGTTGTGATGTCTATAGCTTTGGGGTTGTGTTACTGGAACTGCTTTCAGGACGCCGTGTTGTTGATAAAACAAAAGTTGGTGTGGAGGAGAATCTAGTGGATTGGGCAAAACCCTATTTGGGTGATAGGCGGAAGATATTCCGAATTATGGATACCAAGTTAGAGGGTCAGTACCCCCAGAGAGCAGCTTATACTGTTGCCCTCCTTGCATTGCAGTGTATAAGTGAAGCCAAGGTCCGACCACGAATGGGTGAGGTTTTAACTGCCCTAGAACAGCTTCCTACCTTACCTTCCCTTGCTTCCACAAGAGATGTTCATGGCTCCTCCCACTCAGAGGCACAAACAGTGGCTAGTCCTATAACAAGGACCCCATTCAGAAAAAGTTACCCTACTTCACCTGCTAATGTGACATGCAGAGGCTCTTTACTGCCATTTGAAATGAAATCTTCTGGCCATGTGAAATCCTTACAGGAACTGCAGCAATTCGAAATGAAATCTCCCCGCCATGTGAAATCCCCTCAGGAACAAGTGTTATCTGAAATGAGATCCCCTCACCATGTGAAATCTCCACAGGGACGATGAGCCTGGTCCGGTTGTCGTTTCATCTTATTGTATATCCCCTTTCTCCTTCTCCCTCTTTAGATGGTAGTTTGTTCATGTAAAAAAAAAAAAAAAAAAAAAGAAACAAGAGTTAGGATCTTGCAGCATATTTTCCGCTTTTAAGCAAAGCCCATAAAGACGGGGATCTTTGGATTGTACAGAACATATACCATCAAATTTTGTCATCACAGGATGGTCATCAACATGTTAACATTGTCTGCTACCTGCCCAAAAATGCTTTAATGGAATTGATGTTAGTTCATCTAATCTACATATATATATATATATATATATAGTAGAATAATTGAAGGAATGTATTTTTTGGCCTCTAGTAGTTAAAAATACACTCTTTTCTGTTCACAACTACATCAAGCTTCAAAGGAATGAAAGTATGTGCATGTGTTGAGCAGCATTCCCTTGAGGAGGATGCTGGCTTCAAAGTGCTCGTCTTTCCAACAAAATTACTCACTTTACCCCCATGCTTTTTCTTTTTCTTTTTTTTTTTAATGTTTATGGTATTTAGTTTTGTCTGTGACAATTAACCATTACTGCAGTTCATTTTTTGTGTTGTGTTGCTGTGCTCTACATGTCAGCCCCCCTCCCCTAAAAAAGTAGACCAAAATTCTCACTACATTACGAAACAATACTGTTTGTATTATATTTTAATTTCGTTGAATTTATTTTTTATTTTTTTTATCTTTTAACATAAATAATAAAATTTGTTATTTCAGTCATAGAATATTTTAATTTTATGATTTTTTTTGTCCAAAACTCAATGAAATTAAAAGCATAATAGCAGAATTTGTCATTTTCATTAAGAATATTTTTGAAATATTTTAATTTTATTTTTTTCAAAAATTAATAAATTAAAATAATATTGAAAAATTCAATAAAAGTAAATTATTCTAATTATGTTTTTTTTGTTCAAAAATAAATAAAATTGAAATAAAATAAAAAGTTTAATAAAATTGAATTATAATAGTAAAATTCGATTTTTTTTGGCCATTGGTAAATCTCAATATTGATTCATGCAAATTTCACTTTCATTCCAAAAAAAAAAAAAACCCCTCCTTAATTTACCTTTTAATAGAGAATTGTAGGACGTAAGTTCTAACTTCTAACCATCTCAAACGAACGAGGTCGTTTAGAGTTGTCGCCAATCATCGACATACGATTAAATAAAAGAAAACTGAAATGGCGACCTGTCTTTCACCTAACAGTTTGAGAAGTCTGGCGTATTCGAAAGGTAAAACAGAGTGAAGAGCCTTCTCTGTTTTTCTTTTTTTTTTTTTTTTATGTGGATTTTGGGGTTTCATTCAATCCAAATGTAATATAAAAAATTCACACCATTTCCCATTTTCATCTTCATGTTTCCTTGTTAAATTACTCTTCTTTTTGAAACTTTCCTTGTTAACTGTGTAGTGTTGGTAGATATTAGAAGGAGATGGTGCTGGTGTTGGCTCTGGGAGATTTGCATATACCCCATCGGGCAGCTGATCTCCCTCCTAAGTTCAAGTCCATGCTGGTTCCTGGCAAGATCCAGCACATCATTTGCACCGGCAATCTTTGCATCAAGGTCCCATCTTTCTTTTCCTATCTGGGTTTTGCGTTTCTTTTCTTTTTTCCTTTTATTTTGTGTTATAATTTGTGTCCACTTCTTAGTACTTCTGTTTTATGCTTCTCAGCCGAGTCTAATTGAAGAAATTGACTTTGTTAAAATTTTCATTTTTTTTTTTGTCTTGAAACTAGATCTCATGTATCCTTGTCTATTTTGTATGGTGAAACTTGAGAATCGTAGTGTCATAGTTCATATCATATTTCCTGTATTACACCCTAAACTCGAAATACATTTTTTGGTTTTTGCGAAACGATTTATATTTATTTGTCAAAATTTTAAATCTAGTCGTTTTCATGTTTTTTTTCTTTCGTTTATTTTGGTGTCATGTCTAAAATTACTAGGTGTACATGAATCTGAATCATTACTAACTCTTAAGTATCAAATTTTAGTATTTTGTAATTTAACTCGTGAACCAAATGGAGGGAAGCTTTTCTTTGTGATTGTTATGGATATTTCATTCCTGATGTAGGAATGCTAAATCTAGGCCTATATTAATCTGGATTCAATGTTTCTGCAAATATAGGGCGGTTCATTTTTTGTTACTTTATGCTTTCGAACCCAGTATCCAATATACACCAGATTCTCGTTTTGTAATGTTTCTAGATTGAATTTTGGAGAAGCATCAGAAGATGCCATAAAAGACAGTTACAAATTTAAGTTACTATCAACAGTTGTTTCATTTTTACTCAATTCTAATCCAAATATGCATTACTGCCTTACATAGTTTTGAAAATTTTCTTACCTTAATTTTTGTCACCTGCTAAGAATGATATTCCTGTTCTCATGTCATGTTTGGTCTCAAATGCATGTGAATAGTCATTTGCTTATGTTTTGCTGTCCGGTGGCTATTTCTCAACTGGTTAAGGTTAAAGGTTAAAGTTGGATTGAAGTAGATATTATTAGTTTAAACATAGAAATTTGTAAAAAGTTAATAATTTATGTTTTAGCTGTCTTTCTCTTATTTGCAATGTCCAGGAAGAATATGAATGAATTGATTTGTTAGCTTTATAAGCCAAGTTGGAAACTAGAGAAAAAAAAAGTGATGTAATGTAACTTCTGTTTTCAACATTTTTCTTTCTCTTTTGGAAACTACCCTGTAGAAAATTCTAACAATTGACCGTTTATGGAAACTACCCTACAGTAAATTTCTAACAATTGACTTTTTATTTACCTTATTAAATTACATCTGGCTCTGCAAATTCTGACTATAATTTCAGGAAGTTCAAGATTACTTGAAGACTCTTTGTCCTGACTTGCATATTGCTAGAGGTGAATATGATGAAGGAACAAGGTATCCTGAGACCAAAACACTAACTATTGGACAATTCAAGTTGGGATTGTGCCATGGTCATCAGGTATGGTCTCTTCTGGCCCTTGAATTATTTTTTTCTTTCTGAGGTATGGAGTATGGATAAAAAGAATTTCTTGGTAATAGAGAATATCTTGAAGGGCTTTCGAATTTTGTTATACATTTTAAATCAGTTATTGGTTTGCTAGAGATGTGGCTTATAATGAAAGCTTGTTTCTCCTGCTGCTTTGAAAGATTTGTGAATTCATGCCAATTAAGTGAGCCAATACTAATCAGTCTTAATGTAACTTGATTCTTTAAGGTCATACCCTGGGGTGACCTAGACTCACTAGCTATGCTACAGAGGCAGCTGGATGTAGACATACTTGTGACAGGTCATACCCACCAGTTCACTGCATACAAACATGAAGGAGGTGTTGTTATAAACCCAGGGTCTGCTACAGGTGCATATAGCAGCATCACTTATGATGTTAACCCTAGCTTCATCCTCATGGATATCGATGGGCTACGTGTTGTGGTCTATGTCTATGAACTTATTGACGGAGAGGTTAAAGTCGACAAAATTGATTTTAAGAAGACAACCGCTACAACTCCTGCTCATTGAACGATTAGGTGTTTTTTTTGGCCAACTGAACTTTTAGGTGTTTACTGTCTGCTATTGTTAACATTTTGTGTGGATTCTTCAACATGCAACCAGTTTGTAAATTGTAATATATGTGAACCAAACATTTGTGAAGGTGTTGAATGATAGAAATTTTGGCATCGGTATGGTTCCTTGTCTTGCTGTGTGAGTTATGTCCTGTTTTGAGAGCCATTCTTTTGGACAGGCAATCTCTAAACCTTCTTTTGGACAGGTGATCTATTAATAAAATAATAAATTTTTTATTTTATTAATTAAAATTTAAATTTTAATAACTTTAAATATTAAAAAAAGCGTATCTAAAACATAGAATAAAAATTTTATTTAAAACAAAAAAAAAAATTATCCTTCACTATAATTTTTAGGGTGCACAAACAAAAATGGCGAAATGATACATGCCGTACCTTTCTAATTCCAACAAATATTAGGAATATTATTTTCTCCTTCAATCCTTAATCAGGAAAATAATATGTGAATTAGAAACCTCAACTTTCCTAACAATGGCTTCCATTTTTAGCTTCCAATTCACTTCTCTTCTAATGTTTGTTGACGATTTGTAACTAAATGTATCTTGGCGAACACCGATAAATAGTCAGCAAGCAACAAGAAATTTCAAATCAAGGTAAAAAATCATTAGACTCCTTTCCTTACGTCAGTTGAGTTGCAAATCTTTCGAATCAAATCACCCACCCTATGAAGACATCACACAACAGCAACAAACTCAGCTGAACCAAATGAAGCAGGATCGATCCTTTTAGCAGCAGAATCAAAGATTTCAGCTTACTCTATTACGTCGAAGCGATTTCATTTGTTCTCTTATCTTTTTTCTTTCTTTCGCAAGAATTCCTTCGTAATGTTAGAAGTATTGAACTTGCACTTTTGGCAGTTCATGGAATTGTATATGTCCCAGTCCATTTATGCTATATATCACCCAAGAAACCAAAAGTTTAGATTTTCTATTTGTATTGGGGGATAGAGATTTGACGGGATATTCCGTATTTGGGTAATTTTCTTTTATATAATTGGATAAAGAGAGCAATCTTATCTTATGTAATTAGACAATTAACATAATTTTTTTTGTTGCATTTAGAGGTCATTAAAATTTAAAATTGAAATTAAAAATTCAGCATTTTATCAATTGTCTATGTTAGCATTACCTCTTCTAATCTGCTACATCCCACTAAAGATAAAGGAGATTTAACTTATTTTCACCACTGAATAACATGTGTACAATTATATTAATCTTGTGCTTATAATTTTCCAACTCACCATTTCACCACTTAATTCTAGTTTGTCCATTTCCTCACTCTTGCCTGAAGATTACTTTTTTTTTTTTTTCTTTATCCAGCTATTCCTTCAACGCCAATAATTCTCAAAGCCCGCCCTTGTTTAATCTAGCTGTTAACAGGCTTATCAAGCATTAGAATAGTATTAGATATTTTCTCATCATTCAAATAATAATAGCAAATTTAGTTAAATGTTAAAATTAATAGAGAAAAAAAATCAAATGCTCTTTAATTTGCTTCAATCTCAAACCCAAATTCTGGTACTCATCAAAATCAAATCCTTACCCTAAAATCCTTGCTTTAGTTCTCTTCTATCTTCCACCATTTGAGACTCTAAACTAAGAATTTTTTTCTACCAAGACTTGTTATACGTTAAAAAAAAAAAAGTTTGCATGTCACTAAATAATTCTCCAAACAAATAGAATTCTAATATGACCCTAACTGGTATTCGAAACGAAATTCAAACACCTATCAAATTCATATATAACTATTAATTTCGTCAAAGATAAGGAGACATGATAATTTGGTTGTGATAAAAATCCGCCATTGATTAAGTCATCCAGCAAAAATTTTGACCTTTTTTATGTCTTTTGGTCATGGACTCAACAAGTCAACATAAACTATTATTAAAGCCTTCATATATATTCTGACAAATGAAAGTTAAAAACAGAAAAAATTGAACTTTATTTTCATGGACTAAATTGGGCATAGTTATGAATCAGATTTTTTTTTCATGAACTGTTGATGACTGAACTAGTTCAAGGGAAATGAAATGAAAAGAAAACATGTTCCAACTAATTCTAATATAGTAAATATCTCTGATTGTTGCCTAATGGGCAGTGAACCTGTAAACCATAAAATGCTTGTAAGTATCTCCATGGTTTACAATCTGAGAAGGAAAATTCGGGTTATTCACTGCATCGGGGAACCCTTGAGTCTCAAAGCAAAGTCCTGCATGAATTGAATAAACGAATCCATCTTTCCCCTTCTCACTCTTCAACATGTTACTTGTATAAAACTGAACCCCTGGCATATTAGTCCACAGCTCCATTTTTCTTCCAGACTTGCTTTCCTGCACAACGGCTACCTTCCTCAGGTGTTTTGGACTCGATTTGTCAAGTACATAGTTTATATCATATCCATTAGGCAACTGGTTGAACTTGCCGCCAATCTCACGTGGTTGGAGAAAATCATATGGAGTTCCTTTAACAGGAACGATTTTGCCGGTTGGGATTAGTTCATCATCCACTGGGGTGATGCTAGAGCCAAAGAGCTGGAGAGTGTGTGACAGGATGTCACCACTGCTGTGGCCACCAAGGTTCCAGTAGGTGTGAAGAGCTAAATTCACTGGGGTAGCCTTGTTGAGAGGCTTGGCCACCATTTTTACGCCTAGCTTATTAGTACCTATGATCATATATGTCACTGACACTGAAAGATTTCCAGGAAAACCTGCAAAATCGAGAGAAATCCTAGTCTTACCAGCAATTCTTGAAATTGTAAAATTACTAAAAGCAATATCATCTTATATATTTGACCTGGTAATTTAAAAACGTCACGGTAACAGGATAAAAAGGCAAAAAAAACAAAATTGTCGGTTCTATCATACATACCTTGCTCACCATCAAAACTATCATAAGTAAATGTGATATGGCTATCTTTTCTGTAATTTTTTACAGTCCAGATAACATCTCCAAATCCCTTTCTGCCACCTAAGATCAGAAATCAAAAGCTCAATTATACCAACAAATCCGAATTCATGGAACAATTGCTAAAAATGAAACTTGACTAGAAATAAAAGGCCTTACCATGAAGTGAGTTTTTGCCATCATTAGCCACTACTTTATAAACGACACCATTTAAGGTAAAATTAGCCCCTCCAATTCTGTTAGCTACTCGGCCTACAATGGCCCCAAAATAGGTTGTATCATTCTGCAACAAATTCAAATTTTCATCATAATAAACTAAAGGAATTCAAGTATTGCTGGGAAGGAAAGAAAGAATAACAATAAGAATGAATCCCAGTATCCCACCTTGTAATCATTGAGTGAGTCATATCCGAGAACAACATCATCCAATTTCCCTAATAAAAAAAAAGTAACAAGTTTTATATATATGTCCGGTTCTGAAATATTGTATGATAGAATTTGAAGTAAAGGGCAGCAGCATATCTATACCAGTTTTATCAGGGAGAATAAGAGAGAGCATAATTGCACCATAGTTGGTGAACTTAGCAGAAAAATCTCCCCTCTTCAGTTCGTACACCTTAACTTCCTGTGCTTCACACATACACAACAAAGCAAGCAAAAGAAACCCAGAGAGGAAACATATCTTGAACATGGTTAATCTGATCAATCAAATCAAATTACAAAAACCAGATTGACATGTAACACAGTAAATATATAAAGATGAAGGGGTGTTGGTTTAAAGTTTAAACAGTAGATAAGGATACAATCGCAGATAAAGATAAGGGAGAGTAGACATTTGAAAGAAGCTAGGACTCCTCTGCCATCATATTTTTGCTTTAAAAAATTATACATAAACACTCCGATCTTTGCAGGAAATCTGTAGATTTGATTTAATTATGGGAAGAATCATTCCGTTTTAACTCGATTTGTTTTATGGATTCCATGAGCATGAGTGTCCGCTGCATGCATGAGTTCAGTCTTTATCCGATTTGCTACCTTACGTTTGCCTGTTACTAATTTTTTGCTGAGCTTGAAGAAATAAAATGAGAATTTGGTGTATATGGCAGATATCCAACTTAGTTTTGCAACTCTTGAAGAAGTTTTCTTAAGGTCAAATTTTGAATTTAGCCCTGTATTGTGTGAAAATGTTGGATTTAGTCCTCTGTTATTATTTGTACAAATTAGAAGTCTTTTTACTTTCAATAACCGTTAATATTGGTCCGATTGCTAACCTGGAAAGGGATTCTTTATTTAAATATGTTGACACGATTTTGACCATATGCTCATATTGTGTTGACAATGTTGATTAATGCTAAGGTGGCTTTTATTGAGTCAAGGCGACGTTGATTAAAAATAAATTTTTATCTTTTAAAATTTTGAAAATTTTAATAAAAATTTCTAGAAAAGAAAAGAAAAGAAAATTTTATTTATAAGAAAATTTTGAGAAAAGTTTTATTTTATAAAACATATTGATAAATAAAAATTTCATTTGTTAAAAAATTATTAATTTTCATTGCAAAAAATATTCAACATGATCAATGCCGAGCAAGCATTTTTAATGGAAAAATCCTAATGCAGTTGAAAATGAAGCATGATTAATAAATTTTTAATGTACAAGACTCAATTTAATCAAATAAAAGTAAGAGATATATTCAACATTTTCACATAATATAATACAATGACTGAACTCAGAATTGAACTTTTCTTTTAACATAGTAGAACAAGTCTAATGAAAAATGTAAATGATACATCACTATTCATAAATTAATCGATTTTTACTTGGATAAAAACTCAAATTTAATTTGATCATTATCGTGTTGAGCTTGAACAATTTAATTTATCGAGTAAGTCAATTTCGGGCATTCTAATACCCAACTTAAATAATTTGTAAATCTAATTAAGTTTTTATATTTTAATATATTTTAATTATTTTAATTAAAAAATTATTATTTTATTTATATATATATCAATTTGAATTCGAACTCGAATTTAAACATAAATAATCGAATTTAAATTTAAATATAAAAATTAAGTTTTTTTATATAATAAATTAATCAAATTTAATGAGCTCAAATAATTTAATTTTTATCTTAAATTAAATTTAAATTTAAAAATTAAAATTTAATCAAATTCAAATCGAAGTTCTAATAATGAATTATGAGTTGAATCTTAAATTTATCACTGTATAGACTTGATTAGGCCAAAATACACCTCTAGGCCTGATTTTACTATGTGGACTTTGAGTTCAGTTAAAGTTAGTGCCATGCCATTTATGCACCAATTTTGTTATAAATTCAGCTCCGGAAACCATCATAATGGATTAATCATTACTTGCATATGAGTTTCTGCTTCTTTAATTTCTCTGAAGCTTCTATATATTAATGAATGTGCTAAAAAAAATTAATATTTAAGGTTGTTATAAATCACTAAAATAAAGGTCCAACGTTTTAGCAGATTAAACCAAAATATTTTTAATTGCTTGGTGAGCTAATCTGAACTGATTGAGTTCATTGTTAAAGTTGAAATCCTAGGGGCTTCATATCCGGTTACAGTTTGTTAATTAAGAGAAGAAGCGGATGAAGATTGGAATCTTTTTTTTTTTTTTTGCTTGTTCTTTCTCAAAACAGGTATGGCAGAAGGTGCTTTCTACTACCTCAGTTGCGAATTTTATCAGTTGGTCGATGATCTAAAGTGGGCAATTGCGACTTTCAAGATAAATCTTTTCGAACTATATTATTAAGATTTGTTTGGACCGCTAATATCTACTATATTTGGTGGGAAAGGAATTCTCGAAGAAGGCATTCGAATAGAAAGAGATAGGCTGTTTTTCAGTTCATTGCTGTAGATGTTAAAGCTCGATTTTGTTGTGTTTCAAATGTAGGTACAAACACTGTAAACAGAGACTTTTGTAAACGTTGGGAAATAGGTCAATCAAGTAAAATGCAATTGCTATCTCTCTTTGGCATATTAAAATCGTAAATTTAGTTGGTTCGTGTAATCACCTTTAAGAAGTAACATTAAATAAATTTAAAGACTCAATTAATTGTATAATCACTTTTAAAAAATAGCATCTAATATGACCTTATTTGAAATGAATTATTGTTACTGTATAATATGTTTGAGTACCTATTTAATATAATTGCATCTTTCTTTATTGTTTAGATCATGGATGTAATCAAACCGAGTCGATATAATCAAAAAATTAAGTTTAAATTTAATTCGAGATAAAAATTGAATAATTTGAGTTCGCTCAATTAAACTTATTTATTGAATAAAACAAAATTTGATTCACATGCTTAATTTCAAAATCGATTATTAGTGTTCGAACTCGAGCTCAAATATATATATATAAGGTAAAATATTAAATTTTTAATTAAAATAATAAAAAAATATATTAAAATATAAAAATTTAATTAAGTTCATAAGCTACTTAAATGAGTTATTAAGATGCTCGAACTCAATTCGATTGATAAGTTGAACCGCTCAAATTCAAACTCAACTTGATAATGACTAAATCGAATTCAAATTTTATCTAAATCAAACTCGAATAACTTGTAAACATTAATATATCATTTACATTTTTAATTTAGATAACAATACTACGATTTTATGGTTCCAATGGAAGAGTTAAAATGACACCGGAGTATCTGATATCATACAACTTAGGCTGAGATTAAGGCAGACTTATCTAAAAATAAGATAAGCCTATCCTTGATCCAAATCCACTAAATAAATATAGAAATAAGCTAGGCTGAAATAGAAAGATTATGTTCATACTAGCTAGAGAAGAAGAGCATGAATATATATGAGATTATGGTCATATTCATTATTATGTAATCTGCAAAAGTAAATGAGTTCACATACAAATTCCTTGATTTTAGGCACGATTCTAGCAATACAATTTGAAAGTTTTCATATTTGAAAGGATGTTCCTAGCCTATATATTTTTTGTTATTCTTTGGTAGAATGGAGAATAAAGTTTTCTTTATCCTCAAGCAATTTTTTAGATTGTTCTTTAAATTTTGTATCTCTTAGGTGTATTTCCTAGAATAGTGTACTTCTTTTGTTTTGTATTTGATTAGAATTCTTAAGGTGGTGTTTTTGTATCTCTTAGTTTTTAGTCTTAGTGGTGGTGAACTTTTATCCATTTTAATTCAATAATCATATTCTATCATTATTCAAATTCTTGTGAGTTATCTTTTTTGTGAGTTTTTTTGTTTGCAATTAATCTCCACATCTCCAGCATTAATTACCGACATCAAATTGGTATCAAAGCTATGGTAGGTCATCATCGTTAAGCACCAGCAGAAGAGGTTGAAGCTAATGCCGATATTGTAACAACTACCAATGTTGACCTAAGGGATGCCCTCATAAAGAAGATGCGATAATAAAATTTTCAACTACAATATTAGTTGCATATACAAGAAGAGAAGGAGAAGATAAAGAGGCAACAAAGGAAGAACGAAAAAGGTGAAAGAAAAACCAATCCATTCCGTGGAAACAAGAATGATTTTGATGATAGCACCCTATCTCACCCATAGCAAGTCAAAGACTATCTACGTAAAAACCAACTTTAACCTAGCATATTTAATTCGAAGATAGAGATTCCTAAGTTCGAGGGAAAAATGCAACTTGAAGAATTCTTAGATTGGCTACATATGGTGGAACACATATTTGAATACCATGATGCCCCTGAATATAGCAAAGTAAAGCTAATGGCCATCAAACTCAAAAAGCATGCATTCTTTTTATGGGAAAATCTAAAAAAGCAAAGGGAAAGAGAAGGTAGGAGAAAAATTACAACTTGAAAAAAGATTAAAAAAGAGTTGAAGAGAAAGTATCTCCCAAACAACTTTCGACAAGATGTCTTCCTTTGGCTTCATAACTTGAAGCAAAGAGATTTTTCGATGGAGGAATATACGGTTGAGTTTGAGCATCTCATGTTCAAATGCGAGTTGGTGGAATAAGAGGAGCAAACTATTGCCTGGTATCTTAGAGGATTAAAGATTGAGATAAATAATTTAGTGTAGCTACAACCCTATTGGACTTTCAATAATGTATGCAAGCTTGCCCTTAAGGTAGAGAAACAACAAAAGGAGGCCCACGGTAGCAACTTGAGATTTGGATCCCGAAAAGGCTATATCAATAAAAATGGTTAATCCAAGACTGTTGTTTCTTCCAAGCGCATTCCAAAGCAGCCCCAAAAGAAAAATGGAACCTCAACAAGCAAGCCCTAGTCCAGTACACAAATCAAAAGGTGTTTTAAATGTCAAGGCTTGGAAACATTGCCATAGAATGCCCAAACAGGAAAATTGTGACTTTAGTAGAGGAAAACTAGGAAGAAAATGAATAAGAGTTGGCTAAAGAAGATCAAAACCTTGAAAAGGAAGAAGAGGTAACCTATGGCGATTATGAAACATCTTTAGTCATACAATGCAACTTTAGTACCGCACCTGCTAAAAATGAAAATTAGTTGCATAAAAACGTGTTCATACTCAGTGTACTACCCATAAAAAAATATGTGATATTATAATTGATAGTGAAAGTTTTGAAAACGTTATTTTTACCTTTATGATGTAGAAATTAAGCCTCAAGGTAGTGAATTACCCCTAATCATATAAGCTATTTTGGCTGCAGAAAGAGAATGAAATTAAGGTGAGCAAAAGATGTTTGGTTTTTTTTTTCATAGGAAAGAATTACAAGGACAAAGTGTAATGTGATGTAGCTCCAATGAATGCTTGCCATTTACTGCTCGAAAGAACTTGGTATTATGATAGGAGGGTTATTTATGATGATTACCGTAACACTTTCACATTTGTGAATGATGGATGCAAAATCATCCTAGGCCTTACCAATCCCATAGTGATGTCCAAACCAACCAAAGCGAAAGAAAGCAGCTTGTTTACCAATGCCAATTTCAGAAAAAAAAAAATTAAAATGAGTGATATTATGTATACGCTAATGTTAATTGAAGAGAATAAAGATAATGAGGAGCCCACTACAATGATGCAATCATTATTGGTAGAATTTCAAGATGTTGTTTAGAAAGAGTTACCAACTGGTTTACCATCAATAAGGGACATTTAACACTGCATAGCCTTATCCTAGGAGTTGTTTTACCCAATAAGGCAAAATTTTTCTTGAGGAGTTATGCAGAAAAGAAACTAAACCAATAGAAACTTGTTTTACTATAGGTGAAGTTTGCTTACAATCATTCATCAAGTCAAACTATTGGTTGCAGTCCTTTTAAAATTGTTCTTGAAGAAAGAGCCAAGAGTATTAAAATATTTCATGAACAGGTTCAGAATATAATTTTACAGAAAAATGAAAAATCTAAAAAGGTAATACTCATGCGTCGATAACATGTGAAGTTCAAAAAAACATGATTTGGTGTGGATTAACTTGTGAAAAGAGAGATTTTATCCAAAGAAGTTTGGTAAATTACAACCTAAGGCAGGTGGTCTATTTAGAATTCTCCAACGCATTGAGGAAAATGCCTACAAAATAGAGTTTTTTGACACTTATGAGTATGTTTCACCTTTAATGTTGCTGATTTATCACTCTACCATGGTGAGAATATTAGTTCAGACTTGAGGACAAGTTTTTTTCAACCAAAGAAGATTGACACCGAAGTGTTTGCATATCATACAACTTAGACTAAGACTAAGACAGACTTATCCAAAAATAAAATGAGCCTATCCTTAGTCTAAATCCACTAAATAAATACAGAAATAAGGTGTGTTACAATAGGAAGATTATATTCACACTAGGTAGAGAAAAAAAGCATGAATATGGATGGGATTATGGTCACATTCATTATTATGTAATCTAAAAGAATAAATGAATTCACATACAAATCTCTTGATTTTAGGCACGATTCTAACAATGCAATCGAAAGTTTTCATATTTGAAGAGATGTTCATAGCCTATATATTTTTTGTTATTATTTGGTAAAAAAGAGAATAGAATTTTCTTTATCCTTAAGCAATCTTTTAGATTGTTTTTCAAGTTCTGTATTTCTTAAATAGATTTTCTAGAGTGATGAACTCTTTTTTTGTTTTGTATCTTTGATTAGAATTCTTAAAATGATGCTTTTATATCCTTTCATTTCTAGTTTTGATGATGAACTTTTATCCTTTTTAATTCAATAATCATAATCTGTCATTATTCAAATCATTATTCAAATTCTTATGAATTGTCTTTTTTATAAATTTTTTTTATTGTAATTAATCTCTACATCTCAAATATTAATTTCTAGCATTATAAAACTCTGACAAATATTTTTAACATTTGCCCTTTTGTTCTTAGTTAAGTATGAAATAATTTTTTTAATTTAATATAACAAATAAATTTTATTATTATATTATGAACTAAAAAATTATTATTATATAAATTTTATTAATATATAAAAAATCAATATATAAATATGATATTATGAACTAAAAATAAAATTTTGTTATATTATTATTATTATTATTATTATTTTAACTAAAATACATGACTACATAATTAATAAAAACAAAAAAATAAATCATATCTATGGCAGCAAAAGTTTGTGGCAATTCCAATCAAGAGGATTTGACTATCTCCGCGAGCACGGTAGCATCTAATTAGATACAGTGTCTGTCCAAGTAGACCCAATAACATAAGCTATAAACGGCGAGATGTCCAGGAGAATAACTTTTTGTGTTTACTCGTACACAATGCCGAACAACAAATGTTGCTCACTGAATTTTTCCTGAAATTAATTGGCTGGGATACCAAGGGAACCTAATAAGCAGTAAGAAGCCAAGAACAGGTACAACAGCAGCAATACAACATCAATAGCAAGGCAAATTAACAACGAACGAAAATGAAATTTAATAATAATGACGATTGTGGCAAGTTGAAAGTTGCAAATCTTTTGATGTACACACACTCACTCATAAACACCCAGAATACAGAAAATTTTCAGAGGCACTCCGTCTGCACACACCTTCGACTATAGACCAGGTTTCAGTTTCACACCACATTCTATAATGTTACACCAAAGATGTAAATATAAATCCAAAACGCATATGAATCTTGAATCCCTCATGCTAACTCATAAATCACAATATTTCAAAAGATCACCTTTTCCACTCTACTTGGGTCGCCTTTGCTGCAAAATCAAACAAAGAGTGTATTTATTCATGAATATCGCCAAAGGCATGGATTAACCAGACATTGCCGAAATATGTCAAATAAGTAAACTAATATAGGGCCACCCCTTTAGGGAAGCTGGCATTATGAAACGTGAACTTTAACATGACCTATGAGTTAAATTGATAAGTTCTAACCAACAATCAGCATTTCATACCATTTCCATCTCTGGATGACAACATAGATCTGTCACTTTTGCTCCCTGCTTTCCCTGAATGAACCAGTCTCTGTGTCCTTGGTGACTGTGAGCTTATTTTACTATTAGCTGAAGATGGCAAAGACTGGCGACGAGTGAGGTTATTTTTGTCACCTCCATCCTGACCAGAGCAAGAAGAGCCTTGTAGTCTCAGCTTAGCCTTGGCAGACTCAGTTGCTGCCATGTAGCTTGGCAGTGCAGGACTGTTCTGAGGCTCATTCTCTGTGCGATCTTGTTTTGCAGTAGTAGATGCTTTCCTGCCAGACTTCTGATTCTCATTATTCACCGAATCATCCTTCCTGTTCAACTCCACATTTTTCGTGGGAGTATTCTCATCCTTAACAGTTCTATCTACGGAAGGCTTCAAGTCAACAGCTTCAGGATCAGCATGCAATAAATCTGATGTCTCATTCATCCCTAATTGCACTGGCATAGTTTCAATGTCAGGTGATTTTGAAACTGCCATAGTCATCTGTTTCTCTGTCTTCTCAGCTGAGCCATTCACTGCCGTAGCCATCTCTTTCTTCATCTTCTCAGCTGAGCTATTTAATGTCAAGGCTGTCTCTTTCTTCAGCTTCTCAGCTGAGCTATTTACTGTAGTCATCTCTCGTCTCATCTTCTCAGCTGAGCTATTTACCGTCATGGCTGCTTCTTTCTTCATCTTCTCAGCTGAGCTATTAATTGTCAAGACCGTCTCTTTCTTCAGCTTCTCAGCTGAGCTATTTACTGTAGTCATCTCTTGTCTCATCTTCTCAGCTGAGCTATTTACTGTCATGGCTGCCTCTTTCTTCATCTTCTCAGCTGAGCTATTAATTGTCAAGGCCGTCTCCTTCTTCATCCTCTCAGCTGAGCTAAATACTGTAGGTGTCTCTTTTCTAATCTTGTCAGCTGAGCTACTAATTATCAAGGCCGTCTCCTTCTTCATCCTCTCAGCTGAGCTAAATACTGTAGGTGTCTCTTTTCTAATCTTCTCAGCTGAGCTACTAATTGTCAAGGCCGTCTCCTTCTTCATCCTCTCAGCTGAGCTAAATACTGTATGTGCCTCCTTTCTAATCTTCTCAGCTGAGCTATTAATTGTCAAGGCCATCTCCTTCTTCATCTTCTCAGCTGAGCTATTTACTGTAACCGTCTCTTTTCTAATCTTCTCAGCCGAGCTATTTACTGTCATGGCAGTCTCTTTCTTCATCTTCTCAGCTGAACTATCTACTGTCATGGCCATCTCTTGGTTTGTCTTCTCAGCTGAACTGTTTAGGCTCTGCTCCAAAGTATCAATATTCGTAGTGCTTGAGGCATTTTCCAAACTTTGCTTTGGCTTTTCAAATTCAACCTCTGATCGCAGTGAATTGTCTACTACAGGATTATGAACCTTTCTCAAGTTGCGTTTCACCTTTTCAAGTTCATTTTGTGGGTTTTCCTGCACTGACTCAGCTGGATGGCTGGAATTTTTTCTCAGGTTACGCTTGGTCTTATCAAATTCAGAGGTTGCTTGAACAGAGGTACCATCCAGATTTGCAGGACGAATCCTGCGGACACTCCGTTTTGGTCGACCTGTATCCATTTCAACAGCTTGACCATTAAACTGCTTCTTCTGCAATTTATAGTCAGAGGCTTTCTTTGGTTGAGGAACTGGTTTCCAGAAGCAGGATACTGACCAGCGCTCTAACCAGTTCCAGACGGAATTTGGTTCCCCAATATCATAACGGAGGTGCACAGGCATTACAGCAGGTGATGAAGCAACAAGCTAAAGCAACAAACACAACAGTCACTCCCAATTTAAAGGAAAAAAAATGGTAAAAGGACAAGGATAAAAATCAAATGATATTCCAATTCAAGAAATCATGCCCACTGATAAGCTTAACTATCAGTCAACTTGCCAAACACCTAATAACACCCAATATTTTTAGGTGCCATGAGAAAACAAGACAGATTTAGCTTTGATTAAAATTGATGCATACAAACTACCAAATGTCCCTGATGCCCAATATTTTTGGGTGCCATTGATTTGGATTTCCTTCAAGATACTAGGAGAAATACCTATGTGTGACATAGTGACATATAATCATTATCAAACTGTCAAACGTCTCTGATGCACAATACTTTTGGGTGCCATGAAAAGTTAGATGATATTTTTGGGCCTACCTAAAATTAATGCAATGGAAGACTATGTATGATCAAGAAGGCAAGTTAGCATGTTGAAGCTCCACTGAACAGGAACAAAATAGTAGTTTTTATCCATTTCCACCAATCGATTTCATTCATGGAACAAAATGAAGTTGACCCCAAAATTAATATTAGAAAACTTGGCAAATGACAATATGGATGCATGAATAAATCATATGCAATTGCTTCTTGCACAGCAAGTAACCATAAAACACCATAATAAGACGGATAAGAAAATTGATGGCCAGGTAACATTTTCCCCATCAAAAGGAGCTTATAGATAAGGATAAAGTCATCAAAGCACAATAGCCAATACATGGGAGTCATCTCTAGTGAAGTGGCACAACATCAAGGTGAATTCTATTTATTTTTGCTTCTGTAAATAAGAAATACTCTAAGCATGACACCAGACATACCTTACAAACAAAAACATTTGCTGACAACTTTCCAATGCGTGCAGGCATATTAACTCCAAGAAAAACTACAAGTTTGCTCTCCTGCTGAACAACAATATAAATATTAGACTACAAAATTAAGCTAGCCTACCTATTACTAGAATAAATACAAATTCAATGCAGGAAGAGTGAGGACAAAAGTGGAAATACATATTCTAAACTTAAAATTTCACATATGCTACAATATCTTGCATGCTGAAAGTAGAAGATTACAAACAAATGGCAGTGGGTTGGCTTCAAAAACATTTTTCACCATTCAAATTAGATCTGACTAACCGATGCATATGATGTTAAAAGTGGCAAAAGCCAAAAACAACTTCAGGCCAAAGACCTTTTTCAATCATTCTCACTAAACTTGATTGATGATGGGCAAGTCAATTCCTTTTACATATGGACCATCTGAGGGTTGACACCATTTTGAATACATAAAAGAATGAAAGTAGCAAAGGAGTACACATAATAAATTTGAATGACACTAATCCAAAAATAAAAAATAAATAAATTTGACTAACAAGAATAGTGATTGAAAGATAAATTTCACTTATTAGCAACCACGGTGGCTGCATTTGCTAAAAGAATTTACCAGATGAGTCATGACTAGTGACTAGGCCACAATAGAGTTCTCAAAGAAATTACCAGAAGGTTTATTTGATTGCATTTTTTCTGCACTTCAAGACCACCATCAGAATGCCTGACCATTAGTCCCCGAACATGTGCTTGTAGCTTGACAATTCCCATCATACAGCACAAAGTAGAAATAGCTTGCCTTCTAACCAAGTGGCCACGAATAAGTGCCTGTAGCCTTATAATGCCTTTGAGGGCCCGGAATGCCCGGCGAGCCTTCATATAAATAACTGATATCAGTGTATGTATAATATCAACTAAAGGTTCTTCCTTGGCTTTCTAAACTCTTTCAAAATTGATAGCAAAATTTCATAAACAATACGAGAAGAATACCAGGTAACCCCTAAAAGCAGCCTGTGCCATTGTTGCTGCTTGTTCTTGCTTTATCCTTTCAGGATCATACGGTGAATCTTGACGAGTGGACTCCTGAGAATCTATGCCTTGACTCATTGGCAGTGATATGCCGTCATCGTGTGAGATATTTGCAGTTTCCTTGTTCTCCAATTCTAATTTCTTTTCATCTCCCTTGGTAGCATATGGATTCATCTGAGAAGAGAAGGGAGGAGCCACAACCACATCAGTTTCTGACGCCCTGGCCGGAACCAATACCTCTCTCTCATTGGCAACCTTCTGCAAATAACAGTCCAATTGAAAAACAGAAAGCATACATTTCTTATTTTAGGATCGATGGAAGAAAGATGCCAAATCACTATTACTTTAATTAGTCAATGCTAAATGGTGAATGAATAGTACTCAGATAAAGAACAATATAGTTGCATTAAACTTACCACTGATGAAAATGGCAGCAAGTATCAAATAGAAAGGGGCGCTAAAGAATATTATCTCGTAATTCCAAGAAAGAATCATATATTCTCAAGTTCAAAGCATCAAAATAACCATGTTAAATGCAAAAGCTCCCAAAGAACTTTTCCAGGCAGCTAATGTTTAAATCAGTTAATCCTTTACTTTACAATTATTTAGAGTTAACTTTCTCAGTAGAGGGAACTAATTAAGCCACCAAGAATAAATCATATGATACAGGAACCATCCATAAACCGAACATTATTCAGATATAAGCTAAGGGGAGAAACAACACACTGTTTAAACCACAACATAAGAAGTTAAAACTCAAAAACTTTGTTTGTATCCCTGAATGGCGTAGTTTAAGAACTGGCTCTCAACCTAAGACAGGAGAACAAGTTACAAGTTAATAGGCAACAAGGAAAAATGTTGGCTGAAAGAAATATCTAGATCAAGTTCTTCAATGCAGCGCTTCTCCAAGCCAGCCAAACTCAATTGATAAAGAGACATCAAGAAATGGAATCCCAACTAGCAATATCAAGTTCTTTTGATAGAACACACATTCTCTTCATGCCCAAATGGTTTAAAGAAACACTTATTAAGTACATCAGAGCATTGCATACAAGAATTTATTGTTGTACATAGTCTTTACGAATATATATAACACAATATTCGCTGTTTAGTAGTAATTAGCTATAAATATTACCTCCCTTCCTTTAGGATAACTAGATTTGGAAGATTTCTTTCCAAAAAGCACAGTCTTAATCCATTTTCCCGGTGATTTTCCCATAATGTGGAGATCAAGCCAAACAGCAACTACCTGTAATCGGCTTTCAACATCATTCTATGTGGTAACAGCGTAGGCATGGATTAATCGTAAATTGAAGAATCATTAAAAAAAGCAAAAAATATATAACAGAAGTCATATAAACGATTAAAAACAAAAAAAAAAAATATCAGCAAAGCAAATTACTAGAATCAGCTAAGTAGAATCCAATGATCTGCCCAAAATTAAAGTAATTAACCCTGACATTTACGATCAGCTGAAAATTGAAATCGAAAGGCAACAGATATGGCGCCTAAAGAAAGCTTTTTACAAACAAATTTACACTAGATCTGATTCTTACCTCGCAAATGCAATACTTTCGATGCTCAAATCTACCATTCCTGATTTTCAAAAACACCAAACCGAACAACGAACCATGAGTTCTTTTTTTTCAAATTTTTTCTTGAAGTGAGAGAAAGAAAACTAAAAATATTTATATGAAAATCGAGAAAATGGAAAGCAAAATGTACCATGAGGAAGTTAGCCCAAAAAAGGGAGAGAGTGACTCAGTGAGTAATCTTGCTTGCAAATCAAGAAGAAAAAAAATTAGTTTCTTTTTATTTATTTATTTTTTGTTTTGGGTTTGCCTTCGTTGCTCGGTTACTCTGTTGTCTTTGCAGTGAGTGCGAGAGAAAGTTCAAAAAATATAGCTCGATTTGGAAATTACGAATAAAAATAATGGGTAAGTAATCTAGTGTAACCAAATTACTGTACTGAGTTTGGATAGCATGGTTTGATCGTTGATGGAGATAGTATTTTCCAGATTGTCACCAACAGTGGGGATTGACGGTTGGGATTGAGAGAAGATGTTAAAGATTGGAATAGGGGATGATTGGGTATGGACAAAGTGGGAGGTGGTGTTCGGTTGGATGTCCCAAAGAGCGGTTACTTTGGGAACAAGTGTCCAGGTTCTTTATTCGGACGCATGTCCAAATTACGCTTCTGCCCTTCTACCAGAAACTTGTTGTAATACGCGGGTGCAATAGCGCGTGACGGATCTGGGCCGTTTGTGGATGGCGGCAGATTCACGGGAAAAGGTGGTGGTGGGAACGTGGAGGAAACAGCCCGTGAGTGGAGTTTGAGGAGGGCAGGTGGGATGGTGCATGAGAGCCAAGGTGGAAGGTTGCGACAAGCAGAAGATTGATGGGTGAATGCGATTGACTGCTGTCAATAAACTGGAAGGAACCCACGAGATGTTGATTGTGGTCATTATAGCCATCATGCACCCTCACTTGCGTCTTCTCTTGCAGCCAGCGCTGTTTTAGTTTTATAATAAAGACATTTTTTTTCCTTCAAAAGGCAAAATACACTAATGATATGTAATCTTGTTTAATAGCTTTCCTGCTTTTTAAAATTTATTTTTAAATTCAAAAATTCTTTTGAAATATTTTAATTCATCGATATCAAGTGGATATCTGGAAGTTCGTTAGTTGATTTGTCATGTAATTTATTAATTTTTTATATGTAATATTTAATATAATTACAACCTTTTTATACTAGTAATTTACTAAAAAAATTCAAACGGATTCTTTTTTTTTGTTAGATATATTTAAAAATGTGTTTGAACAAAAACATTTTTAAATGAAAGGATTTTAAAATATATTAATTCAAAATAAAAACATTTGTAAAAGTGTTCAAGCCACTTGTTTTTGTTATATGGGGATTGAAATGTTAGATTTCGATGAATTTTATTGGTGATTGAAATAATAGATAATCTTGAAATATTTTTAAAAGATTATAGAATCAAAATTTGTTTTAAAAATGGTAAATTAAAATATAATACTATATAAAGTTCATGAATATTATCTTCAAATTTTTGATTTAATAATTAAAAAAATTTGAAGGAATAGCAAGAACTTGTTTCGAATCAAATCTCTCTCCTTTCTTTTATTTGTATTAAAATTTTATTTTTTTTTATATAATAAAAAAAAATTCATGAATGTTTAGTGCAATTTGCTTGGTTTTTTAAAATGTTACTTAGACCAATCCATAGGCTTAACCGTCCAACAAGTTCGTAAGTTTGGCTCGGCTTAAGTTGGAACTTAAATAAAATTTTTATAAATTTCGGTTTAACTTAGTTCAAAATATTTTTATTTAAATTTAATTTTAAATATATTAAAAACTAATTATTTAATATTTTAATAATATTTTAAATCATAACAAGTCTAAACAAATTTTAATGGGCATATCAAGTTAGGTCAAAGGTAAGCATTTAAATGTGTCAATTAATCTTGATTTGATTTAACCTAATTTAACATATGAACACCTTTAATGCTATTAAACTAAAAATTTTATATTAAAACAATTAAATTCATTAGGTAAAGAAGTCTACTGTATTTATTTAAAAAAAATATTTTAAAATAAAATTACAAAGGGAAAGTCAAATGCTTTCCACGGGCAATGGCACCTTTTAAGTTTCAAAAGATGTGAACTTACTTAAAATATAAATTAATTGAATGATCAACACAATTAAAGAGTTATAACTATTAATTAAAATCTCTATAAATAAGATGTTTGAAATTGTTCCAAATATACAACAACAAACTTTGAATATCAAAATTTGTTCTTTCTTCACCTTCATTCTCAATTAAAGAGCAAGTCTCTTAGAATGTATTTGCTACAAAAAACTATGACTGAAAAGATATTTTCATCATTCATTAAAGGTGTTTAATAATTTAGTTTCAAAAGTGTAAAAATGTTATCAAATAAAATTTCATTGTATTTAAAGCTATTCAAATAAAATCCTGTTGCATACCATAATCAATAAAGACGAATAAACCTAAAAAAAAACTTTAGATTTGAAGGGAGAGGAAAGTTTTTTTTTTTTTTTTTGCCAGGAACAAAAATTAGTATGAAGAAAGGAAAAAATATATCGAAAATGGTGTTTGACGGTAAGAACAACATATAGCAAAATATGGGAAGATAGAGTTTTGGAGAGAGAGCAAAGGTCGAATTGAAAGAAAATAAATGATAAAAAAGAAGGAAAGAACACTTTTTTTTTTTTTTTCCTTACAAGATTGATGAAAAGCAAAATCTAAAGCTAGAAAAAAAGAGTAAAGTGAGCTACAAAGAAGGCAGTGACAGATGTGCAGGTAAGGGGAAAAAAGAGATGAAAAAGAAGGATGGCATGAAAATAAGGGTTTTAGGTTAGGCTTATATAAAAATAGTTAAAACTACGTAGTATTGGCATAATGTAAATTAAAATACATATTTTAATTGCAAATAAAAACACTTATTTATTATATATAAATATATTAAATATATAAATAATTAGATTTATTTTATATATTATAAATATATGATATGTCAACTTAAAATTTTTAAATATTATTTTAATATAAAATAAAAGTATTAATATTATTTTGAATAAATTTTGAATATGTTAAATGTTAAATAAAAGTAAAAAATATGAGAATAGTTTATTAATTCAATTTTAAATTAATTTTTGAATGGTAATTTGTTCGTTTTATCTCACTATTATTGTTGTTTTACTAAATATCATTTTATTTATATAATTATTTCATAAATAAATAATAAATTTTATAATAAAAAATTATTAGTGAATAAAAAATAAAATTGATAACTATATAAATTATAAAGAAAATAAATATTACTTGTTTTTATTTTAAGATGTATAAATATATTAATTTTTTTTAAAAATAATTATTATTTTGAAAAAAAATCATCAAAGGAAAATATAAATAATAATAAAATATATAATCAATTTATTTATTAAATAAAAGAATTACATAAATAGAAAATAGATACATAATTAATTAGATATAAAACAAAAATGAGACCTAAATAATTAAATAAAAAATATTATTTTGTTAAATTTAATATGTATAAATATATTGCTAATTTTTAAAAACTTATTATTTTGATATAGTAATATTTTTTTAATTTTCAATTATTTGTTAACTTTATAAATACTAAATTTATTATATATAATTTTTAATTTAATATCTTTAATAATTATTTTCTCTTCTTACGATAATTTACTTCACAACAATTATTACATTTATATTTAAACATATATTTCATTACTAATTTTAACTTCATCATTATAATAATAAATCTTCTCTCCATTAATAAATCTCACCACGTACTCAAATATACCCTTAATCAAATATAGTACAATCTATTGCATGCCAAATACCTAACATCGTACAACCTGAATTACAATCATTAACCAGCTTACCAAGTCCAATTAATAATTTTAATAAAGCCTTTAATTCACAAGTCTCTTTTGGATAACACATCTCACCTTCTCCACAGCACTTTATTAAATATAAGCAACAACGTCAAAAAAAAAAAAAAAAAAAAAAAAAAGAACTTCATATCATGTTCTCGTTGAATATTGTTCTAGTGCTCAGTACCTTTTATCATAAAAATATCTTTCAAAATAAAGTTATAGTTCACAGTGTTTTGATTTCTGACTAGTAACTGTGAGCAGGTGAAGGTTTTGATGAGGTTGTTAGCGTGGTTAGTCATGATAATTTGTATATTTTATGTAATATAAAATATTAATTATTTATATATTTGTATCATATTTTATATAAAAATTAAATATTACAATTTATGTTAGCAAAAATATATATAATTTTTATTAAAATTTTAAATTAAATTATTTTTATTTTTTTCATATTATTTTTATACTCTATTATTATATCACTTTTTAAATTGTAAGATTTAGAATGCACTCATCAACATACATTGGTCACCTATATCATGAACTATCGTTGTTAGTACTTGCCATTTTCAATTATCTTTATTTGGAAAAGATATCTGTCATTTTTATGCAAAGGATTTAAATGGTGTTTTTATTTGCTTATGATTTGTTAGTTTGCTACCAGTTTACATCCAACCCATACTATGTGACCTCTAACAATTTTACTTTTACGTCTGCAAAACAAGTAAAAGTGCTCACTTAAGCTTTGTTTTGGCCGTAAAATATAATTTCAATTTTTAATCCAAAAGCATTGTTTGAATAAGAAACTCATTTCACAATTCACCATTTTTATGTATAGAGGAAGAAACGATCTATACTAATATAAAACTTTGACTAAATTTCGGGTCACGAGTGAAGTGATATTAACTCAACTAAAAAAATTAATTTTTAATCAAAATTGAAAAATTATTATTAAAAACTAAATTATAATAATAATAAAATGTAATTAAGGATGTTTATATCTTGGTAAAATTAAGCCCATGTTTCGATATTGGACAATTTTTTATTTTTTAAATTATATTTTAAATATGAGAGAAGTAAAAATTTTATATCAAGTTTTAAAATGTGATAACTGTTAATAATTTAGATTATGATTTATCCCATATTGAGTGAAAAAATCTTTTATATGTAGTTTAAAAAAGATTACTCATGTTATTTAAGTTTTTGAGCTAAATGTTAGAGTGGACTAAATCATTTGGGCTTGTTAAGAGTTTTATAGTATCAAACAATTTTAAAAGTTAAAGATAGACACTTAGGCTTATTTAGTAAATAGATTTAATTTTTAAATATTTAATTTTTTTATTTTAAAATATTATTAAAATATTATTTTTATTCTAAATAAACATGTTTAAACAGAGAAAAATACGATAGTCTAAATTATTATATTTGAATAAGAAAATATGACTATATAAAATGTCATGATTTTTTTGAATTGGCTCATTTTATGACTGTTTATTTATTATAAATAGATCTTTGTGCTTGACCAAAATTACTATTT